CCCTGCCTTGAACAGACTGTCAAACTACAGGAGGAAGGCCGGGGAGGGTGGGGGGGTAGGGAGGGGGTAAGAGATCAACCAAAGGACTTGTATGCATGCATATAAGCATAACCAATGGACACAAGCCACTGGGGGGTAGGGGAGGCCGGGGGAATGTCAAGGGGCGGGGGAAGGAGACATATGTAATACCCTTTGTAATACTTTAAGCAATAAAAAAAAAAAGAAGAAGAAGCCCATGTGGGTAAAAAAATAATAAAATAAAATAAAACAAAGAAACAAGAAAACCACTTCTGGCACATAAACCTCAAGTACAACCCTGGAGGTTTTACAAATCTCAAGAGAGAAGTTAACTTTCAAGCCTTAGTGTATGTATGGTTTTAGTTTTGCTAACCATACCTAAAAGACGAGCGTGCCTATGAAAATAAAGCAAAGCATTAAATTAATGATGCCGAATCACAAAATTGCTAAGCAAATTTTTGTGGTTAAATCTCTGACCTTCCAGGCAGAGGCTTGACCACAGGAGGAACTGTAGAGCGAGGCTGACTCCGTGCCCTGCATCCTTTTGAGTAAGCGGGCACACACATCACATGCCACAGTCAGAGAAGAAAAACAAACAATAAGAAACACTACACTCTGAGATAAACCAAAAATAATAGTCACCCAAACACATGAACCTTGAGCATTTCTTGTAAGCTAAAGAATCTCTAATAAAACAACTCTGTTCCTGACTTCTGCTGTTATTCCACTCCAGATAGATTAATGGTAAACTTGGTAATCTTAACAATTCTGTGGGCTTTTCTCCTTTCCTTATATGTCTGTTGTGCTTTTTCTTTGCTGAGCCAGTCCTTCTGAAATCTGACTTTCTGGCAACTTCTTTGTCAGTAAACTTCTTTTCCTTTCTAAATGCTTTTGTTTCTGACTTCCTTTCACAAGGGGAAAGGAACAAAGTCCAGGAGTCATCAGATACTAGAGGCCTGGTGCTAGAATTGGTGCATGGGTGGGGTCTGGCCAGCCCTCCCCAATGGGGGCTCATCAAGCCAGGCTGATGGGGGGGAGGGGCCGCAGGCGGTTGCTAGCTGGCCCCATCCCAATTGGGGTGTTGGGGGCTGATTGAGGGCAGGGCCAGTCAGGGGGAGGGGCTGCGGGCAGTTGGTTGGCTGGTCCTGCCTCCGATTGGGGCGTTGGGGACCAACTGGGAGTGGGGCCAGCCAGGAGGGGGGTGGCAATTGGGCTGGTTGGCTGCCCCAGTGCGCATCATAGCCACCGGTCATTTTGGTCATTCTGCCATTCTGGTCGCTGGGCTTTTATAGATATAGATATGCTACTATATCACTCCTACTGGTCTACATAACCAGGTTTACTTGCTCAGCTCCCCAACAAGCACATACACCCCTGAAACACACAGACTGCGCCAACATACTGTAGCTTTCCTTCAGAAGAAAGTGTTGCCTCACAAACACAAACTGATGCCTCCCAAACACAGCTCCCCAACTTCCCCATTGGGGTACCACTCACCTTGACAGAATTATCTTGACTGGAGGTAGCAAGAATGTGCTCACTGTCTGGGTGCCAGTCCAGGCCATGGATTTTGGACAGATGGGCTGCTAGATATTCCACTGCTGTACTAGGTTTCTGCAAAAGACCAGCACATTGTATTGTCTATTTAGAAAAAACTCGAGTCTACCACATAGTCTGCAGGGATGAGCGGGGATGCAAAAATGCTAGATACAGTCTCTATCTTTGAGAAACCACTTTGTTTGGTTTACAACCAACAACAACACTTATCCTGCTCTCCTTCACCCACGCTCTGTATATGGCTCTGGGAGCCTAATCTCTTTCCGCTCCAGTCCCCGACAGGCTTTCATGAAGAATACGAGATAGTGGGGGCTTTTCCCCATTAGTATTATGGTCTGCAATTCTTGCTCCCCTTCCTCAGGATCACCCAAGAAGAGGGGCTGTGATGTCCAAACAGATCCAATGTCAATCCTGAAAACTTCCAATATTAATGTGACCAAGACCCCAAAAAAGAATGAACACACATCACAAAAGAAAACACTACACAATTAATACGCATATAAAAATGAACAAGCTCAAAAGGAAACCTCAAACAATACATTAAAATATGTTTAAGCTATCAAATTGAAAGATACCTATAAATAATACTCAATGCAGAGTCTGCATTTATCACTGTTGGTGTATATATAAAATACCAAAACCTTGGGGCGGGGGGCGGATTTGACAGATTTTATCAAGAGACTTAAAATTGTCCTTTCTCAAGGGAATATTCCAAATTCACAGAAAGCTTTAGATACAAAAGATGTTCATCTTGGAATTTCATGGAACACCAGAAACAATACAAATAGTAATGGGGAATGATTAAAATTTTTAAATCAATTCTAGTACAGCTTTCTGATACAATATGAAGTAGCCATTAAAAGTTATACTTAGAGCCTGGCCGGTGTTTCTCAGTGGTTGGGTGTCGGCCTATGAACCAGGAGGTCGAGGTTTGATTCCTGGTCAAAGCACATGCCTGGGTTGGGGGGTTCGAATCCTTGTGGGGAGCATGCAGGAGGCAGCCAATTGATGATCCTCTCTCATCACTGATGTTTCTATCTCTCCCTCCTTCTCCCTCCTTCGCCCTCCCTCTCCCTCCCTCTCTCCGAAAGCAATAAAAACATTTTTTTTAAAGTTATACTTAGAGTGCTGGCTGGGGGACTCAGTTTCTTGCAGCAGCATCCTGCACACCAAAAGGCTGGGGGTTCAATTTCTGGTCAGGGCACATACCTAGGTTGTGGGTTTAATTCCCAGTCCAGGTACAAACGGGAGGCAACCAATCGATGTGTCTCTCTCACATCAATGTTTCTGTCTCTCCTACTCCCTTCCATTATCTCTAAAAATCAATAGAAAAATATCCTTCGGTGAGGATTAACAACAAAATTTAATAAATAAATATTTCTAAAATAATTATACTTAGAGATTATAACATAGGAAAATGTAATGTTAAATGAAAAAAGTATATATAACTACATATATGATATGATAAACCATGAAAAATGAAGAAGGAAATAAAATATCAAAATGTTAGCATTTATCTCTGGGTAATAGGACTATGAATGATTATTTTCTTTTTATACTTGCTCTAAAGAGCATGTATTAGTACAGTCTCCAGAACTAGCCTCCCTGGGTTAAAATCCTAGTAACAAACTGTGCCTATGTTTACTCATCTGCAGAACAGGGATCACAATAGTACCTACTTTAAAGATTAGTTATAAAGAGAAATAAACCAATACACATAAAGTTCTTTTTTTTAAAAAATATATTCCATTGACTCCCCACAGAGAGGAAAGGAGAGAGAGATAGAGAGCCAGAAACATCGATGAGAGAGAAACATCGATCAGCTGCCTCCTGCACATCCCCCACTGGGGATGCTCCCGCAACCAAGGCACATGCCCCCTACCAGAATCGAATCTGGGACCCCCAAGTCCACAGGCCGACACTCCATCCACCGAGCCAAACCGGCTCTGGCTACACATAAAGTTCTTAGAACAATGCCTGTGCATCAGAAATGCTTAGTAAACATAGTATTATCCGTCACACTGATAATACACTCCAACATCACCACTGATACTGCACTTTTTTAAGCCTCTGAGGCTGGCTGCCATCAGTGCAGCTCTGACACTAGAAGTGCCAGAGAAATAAAACCAACCAGCTTTACAATCCATCTCAGCAGAAGTCTTAAGTTATTAATAGCCAAAAATAAAGTTAAAAACCCTTCAACCAAATAGATAAAAGGCTTGCTGGGGGGAGTCAGGGTTATTAGTGGACCAATCAAAAGACTAGGAAGGAACAGTTTGGCTGTATGTACTTCAAGATAAGGCACACAGGCTGGTGCCATTTGGGACTCAGCCCATCTGGTTTTCCAGATGACCTAATAAACTTATAATTCTTTATTTAAAAAAAAAATAAGGAACACAGGTACTGTTTTGGCAGAGTTCCTGGCTAAATACCAAAGTGTTTCTTTTGCCTATGACTCTGAAAGCATTCTATAGCAAATAGGGATTCACTACAATTAACTTAACCACACATTTCATTTAAACTATTCACTATATTTAAATGCTATGTTAGTGACAAAAAGAATAAACCCAGTCACCACTTTAAGAAATAAAGAGGGTGGAAGAATGACTGCTACCAGAGTGGACTAAAGGGACAGAGACAAAAACATATGGAAGATACACCTGTTCCACCTCTATTTATAAAATCTCCTTCTCCCCTAAGAGCTCCTAAGGCCGAAAGCTTCAGCCAGCACATGACTTCCCCAGCAGTCCTGGCAGCCAATCCAGCAGACCCCCAATCTCTGCTTCATTCCCTCCATTCCCTCTCCGCTCTGCAACTATAAGACCTTACTCCCTGCTAAGAGGGAAGGGAGCAGGGCAGCCAGAAGCAAAACAGACTTTCCAGGCAACACCAGAGTTGGGACAGATCCTGAACAAGTTTCAGGCAAACTCAAAGTAGGTGCTCCCCCAAAGGCTGAGGATCTCCAGCCTCGGGCTTCACAGAGCAGGAAGTGGTGTTTAGACCCCAGATCTTACAGGAGCTTATTGCCCAATCCTCTGGCAGTTAGATACCGGGGAGGCCCTCTCCCTGCATCATTACTGTCCCTCATGTCAACATACCAAACGTTCTACATACTTTCCATTACAACAGCAGTCAAGGACCCCACACCAATTCCTGCTTGTCAGTTACAGGAGCTGTTGAAGGGAAAATATATGGTCTGCAGGCTCTTTTAGGGCTGATGAGATAGCTAGGCCTAAGGGAAGATTTGTGCAACTAAGTACCCCGCATCTCAGTCATTTACACCAGAGATATCCAGGATGGTATACATCCTAGAACAAATAGTTTTTGCTTTACAATCTGGGGCAGTTGACCATCCTAGAATAGTGCTGGGTCTCCCAGGACTGACCTCCTCAATGATATACTCACTATTATTATCAACTTGACTTTAAAGATAAGGAAATGAAGGCTTGGAGACATTCAGTGACTCATCTGATGTCATACTTAGGAGACAGCAAAATGGGACTCTAACTTCAGAGACCAAGTTCATTGTCTTAACCACTGATCATATGCCTCACTTCCCTACCTTCCTTCAACGCCAATTTGATCACTAATCAAAAGATCATCTGGTACTGTGGTCTGAAAATGGCAATTTACCACACTGCACAGGCACGCTAGGCTCTCAGACAAGCCTTGCTACTCACAACATCCTCGTCCTACCCTCTGGGAGGGATTAAAGGCCAACTGGGGGGAAAAGAGAGATTACTCACCCGCTTGTCCCATATCCGTACATCCCCATCGTGGCTGGTGGCAAGGCAATTAGCATTTTTTTTATTCCATTTGACCTGTGAGGCACCCGCTGCAAAGAAAAATCAGGGTAGAAAGCTGCTGACCTCAACACCTTTGGAATCAGAGGACAGCATACCCAGGGGAGCTGGATAATGAACTCTGGTTAAAATAAGCACAGAATCCTTCAAGTTTCTATAGATGAACCAACTCCACCATAAAGAGAAAATAAAGCAAAAAATAAACGAATTAAATAACACATGGCAACAGGATCAGAGTCACCTGATAACTTCACTCGGGGGGAAAAAAATCTACAGGTTACCTCTGAGCAACATCAGCAGGGAAATGCAGTTTCTTAGAGAGCAGACATTGAACGTGGCTATGCTGGTTGGTAACTGACTCATCACACAACCTGGCTCTTCATCACCTCAATGACCAGGATTGCACTCCCAACCTCAATGCCTGCTCCTTCCCTGTTTCCTTTCCCTTTCTTCCTTTCTTCCTTTTCTTTCTTCTTTCTTTCTTTCTTTCTTTCTTTCTTTCTTTTCTTTTTTGGAGGGACAGTGTTGGCAAAACAAAGCTCGGATGAAAAATAAGCTCTAGTATTGCCAAATTCTGCCCTCAGAGGGTTGTGTGCACCCCCCTCCACCACCCCATAAGTGGTTAGACACGGCCACTGGCCCTGCACTGAGTCAGGGAAAGGGAACACGCAGGCACTGTGTGGACTCAGGCCTTCCCCATTCTGCAAACACAAAGAACAACCACAAAAGACCTAATACTTAAGAGAGGCGGCACACTGTAAGATGGCAGAAGAGGTTGAGAAATGGGAAAAACTGGGGCACAGCAGCAATGATAGCTGACTCTTAAAAATAATCAAGTTACGCTGAAACCGGTTTGGCTCAGTGGATAGAGCGTCGGCCTGCGGACTGAAAGGTCTCAGGTTCGATTCCAGTCAAGGGCATGTACCTGGGTTGCGGGCACATCCCCAGTGGGAGATGTACAGGAGGCAGCTGATCGATGTTTCTCTCTCAGTGATGTTTCTAACTCTCTATCTCTCTTCCTTCCTCTCTGTAAAAAAATCAATAAAATATACTTAAAAAAATAAAATAAAAATAATAATAATCAAGTTAAGTTAAACCAGAACCAAACAATGGCCCTCCTTCCCACCTCTTTTTGTTCTTGCTTAGATAACACATGATATTTCTGCTTTGACATCTCTCCCTTTGGGTGGGTGTTTATTATTGGGGATACCATAGTAGATCCAGGGCTTTGAAGAGCAAGAAGTCTGGAGAAAAGCAAGGACTTAGAATCTAACAGGAAATAGAGATAAGGCCCAGAGTTATCCTTGCTTGGTTTTGGTGAGGGTATTTTTTGTTTTTGTTTTTTTTCTTGAGACACAGGGCATCTTAAGTCCCCTAAGAATAAGTGGTGAAGACTCGGTTTTTTTGTAAGAAAGCGTATCAGCTAGAGAATGAGTAAGAAGAGCCCGCTCCATCTCCTCATGACAGGACCTTGATGCCAAAAGATAATCCTGATGATTAGGCTCCATCCCTGTGAGTAAGGTTTACCAGTTCTACACCCAAGTTTGACTCTCAGGAACTGGTGGGAACCCGCCACAAGGGCCCAGTGCAGAATCCCAACAATAGTTCATTCCACCTGAGCAATGAAAACAGGTAGATCAGATTTCAAAGACGCAGTGCCTCCATATTAAATGAAACCTTGGGGACACAATCAGCATCATCTAGAATGTGGGGAAACCACAGGACAAACAACCTGGTTTCTTCAATAAACAAACTGCAGAAAAAGAAATACAAACCAAAAAAGGAAAAGGAGAAGAACGCTACCAATTAATAAAGATAAGAAGTATATCAACCATTTGCAAGTATAGACTTTACTTGGATTCCGATTCAAATAATTGTAAAAAAAAAAAAAAAGTAGAGACAGACAGACTGCTGGGGAAATTTGAATACTACTCAAGTGTATGATGATAATAAAAAGCTATTGTTAATATTTTTAGGTATGTTGACAGTATATAATTATGTCTTTTAAAGGATTCTTTTCTTGTAAAAAATACTTAATGAAATATCTGTTGATGAAATGAAATACCTGGGATTTGCTTCAAAATAATCCCAAAGAGGATAGGGTGGCAGGTGGGACAGTGGGTAGAGCTAGAGATGAAAAAAGACTGGCAGTATGTTGACAATTGTGGATGCTGGATGATGAACACAAAGTACTTCACTTTATGCTATTTTTATATACATTTAAAATTTTCCACAATAAAAAGTTTAAAAATAAATCAATTTAGTTCCTGTCCTTGCATTCTGAAATAAGTTGCTGACTACAACTCGATAGTCCTGACTAACTTCTAAGAGAAACCTGAAGCAAGTCCCTTGCAATATGGGCCTTAAAATTCCACCTAGCCGCAACAAAACATGGGGTGTGGACAGTCAGTGTGAGAGAAAGAATGGAAGGAATAGAATAAAGACAAACAGAGGGAATATACACTCACCTACAGCAGACAGTGCAATGGTCGGCTTCCTTGTGTCTCTGAAATACAAAAGTCAGAAATCAAATGCCCAATTCATATGCCACCATCCACCTGGTGCTTTTCACCCTCTGCACATATTTCTTCACTTTCCTTTCAGTACGTACTCGGAGATCAGTGGGAATGTGAGAGCCTTAAAAAGAACATAAAGAGCCCTAGCTGGTTTGGCTCAGTGGCTAGAGCGTCAGCCTTCGGATGAAGGGTCCTGGGATCGATTTCGGTCAAGGGCACATACCTTGGTTGCAGGCTTGATCCCTGGCCCTGGTCAGGGCACATGGGAGAGGCAACCAATCAATGTGTCTCTCTCATACTGATGTTTCTCTCTGTCTCTCCCCCTCCCTCCACTCTCTCTAAAAATCAATGGGAAAATATCCTCCAGTGAGGATTAACAACAACAACAAAACACACACACACAAAAGAGCACAGCATGGCCTGGGTGACCCCAATGTAGGAGCAGAAAAAGCCAAAAGAATACCTTCCTGGTGTCACTTCTCCTAATGGAACAAGGGGACAGTCATGGAGGGGTAACTCTGCAAGAACCTTACCAAAGCATTTCAAAGGTAAAGTAAAAAACTAGTCTGGGTGTTCACGACAGCCAAGAGGTGGAGGCAACCCAAGTGTCCATCGACTGGTCAGTGGATAAATGTGATATTTTCATACAGTGGGATAGTATTAGGCCTTAAAAGGAAGGAGAGTCTGTCACATGCTGCAACATGGATGAACCTTGAGGACATTACACTAAGTGAAATAAGTCAGTCACAAAAGGTAGAAGACAGGCCAGGTATTGCGATATGACAGGTCTGACAGACCAATGAAAGGGATTCTTAGAGAGCAAGGGTGTGTACGGCTGACGTCACCAGCATTCCCTGCAGGTTAGCACTTCAAGGTGATTGAAGCTCTCTCTTTTTTCTTTTTTTTTAATATATTTTATTGATTTTTTACAGAGAGAAAGGGAGAGGGATAGAGAGCTAGAAACATCGATGAGAGAGAAACATCGATCAGCTGCCTCCTGCACATCCCCCACTGGGGAAGTGCCCGCAACCCAGGTACATGCCCCCAACCGGAATCGAACCTGGGACCTTTCAGTCTGCAGGCCAACGCTCTATCCACTGAGCAAAACCGGTTTCGGCATGAAGCTCTCTTTTTTTTTAATTGAATTTATGGGGGTGACATTGGTTCACAAAACCATATAAGTTTCAGGTGCACAACTCTAAAAACCATCATCTGCACACTGCATTGTACAGTCCACCTTTCAATGTAAAGTATCACAAAGCCACTGCCATTTGGGAGCAGAGCAGCCTGGGGAGGGCAAAAAGTGGACCATCTCCGGGACTCTACAGACTATACCCACTAGTTAGTCACCTCTGTTATGGTAAAGAGAACTTCGCTTTACAAAGGGAGAGGGGAAGTGACATTTATTAAGAACTTACACAATAATGTGGTGAAGGCCTTGGGGGGGATGGGCACGGATCCAGGGTGGAGGAGGTCAATGGAGTGGGTGGGGGAAGAGGACATCTGTAATACTTTCAACAATAAACTTTAAAAAAAAAAAAAAAGAACTTACAAAGTGCTCTGGCCAGTGTGGCTCAGTTGGTTGGAGCATCAGCCTGTACACGAAGGGGTGGTGGGTTTGAATCCCAGTCAGGACACATACCCAGGTTGAGGATTCAATCCCCAGTCAGGACATACCCAGGTTGAGGGTTCGATCCCCAGTCAGGGCATGTGTGGGAGGCAACCCATCAATGTTTCTCTCTCTCTCCTCCTTCTCCTCCTTCTCCTCCTCCTCCTCTCTCACACACACTATTCCTCGAAAAAAGTAATTGAAAAATATATATTAAAAAAAAGAACTTACAAGGCGTCAGGCCTGGGCCGGGTGCTCCTTACCCCATGAAGAGTATCTCTACCAGGTGGCTCTCAGCTACCCTCACAGATGGGGAACTGAGAAGCCTCCCAAAGAACAAGTAAAGAGCTGAGCAGATGTGTCTTGTAGCACTGCCTACAGGAACAGCTGTGTGTCTGTGCCCATCAAAATTCCCCCGCCATCACCTGCCACTTCAGTAAACTTCAGCCTGACTTCCAAATGCCACAAAATCTCCCTAGCTGCTGAAGACCATTTTGCAAACCACTGTGACAGGACTGCGTGCAGAGAAGTAAGGCCCCTGAGACAACCAGTGACTGACAGTGAACAGCACCCCCACTTCCTTAGCCCTCGGGGTGGGATGCCTCTGAGGAGGGAGTTTTACACTAGCACCTAGCAGCCCAGCCTCACCGGTTCACAGTGGTACACAGGTGGATAATGCGCCCTCTCTTTGTGGCCGTCCCCATCCTGTCTCTTCTCCATCCCCTACCGCACTTCTTTCAACTCCTAAATAATGTATCTGCAAAGTATCCCTGTCTCAGGGTCTGCCTTCCAGGGGGCACCAAACTCAGATGTCTGATCTCTAAAATGAAGCTGCCAAATCATGCCACACCACGTAGCTATGCCTCTTCATTGTTCTTACTTGATATCCCAAATGTAGATGTAGGTGTCCACAGAGCTGGTCACGAGGAGATCCGGTTCAAACACTGCCCAGTCCAAGTCGCTGGGAACACAGAATAATAAAGAGAGAGAAAATTCAGAATCTGGTTCCAAAGCAGTGGCAGGTTTAGTCTCTGGGGGTTTTGAAAGTCACTGTTAATGGGCTTCTTAACACGGTTTAGGCTGGGCATCTCCAACGTTCTTTGGGAATGAACAAGACTTAACTGAGCTCGGAAAGAAACATTCAGGTCCTTCCCTGTCATCTCCAGCTATCTTACACGTGCTCCGGAACAGAAATGGAGTATTTCAACTTAAAACACACATGCATGCATGCACACATGCGGGCACAGACTGTACAGATAAAACAAGGAAAATTTTTGACTTTTCATTTTTGAATCAGACTCCACTACAGGGACAGTGAGTAAACCCAACGTCCCTTAGCAGTGGCAAGCTGCCATGTTACCAGCAGGCCTCTGGTCCCCTACTCGTGCCCTCGCGTCTAGAAAGGCGGTTACTACGTGAACAGTTAGCAGAGGCAGGGGTCTAGCCTTTCCTATCACTTCCAAGTCCATTTCACCACCCCTGCACTCCCTGCTGCTACTTCCCAGAACAAGCTTTCTCCACCCAGAAACAGGGACCCAGGGAAGGGTGGCTCAGGGGACACTCCAGAGGCCACTGGAAGGCCATCAGTGGAAGGGAACTGCATGTCTGGACGATGGACTGCAAAGCAGGAGCTCTATGTGGGGACTCACATCTGCTGGAGAAAGGGTACAGGCTGCCCCCGGATAACTCTATTCCTGGCCACCGCCGACTATGACCTGAGGGATTATGGCATAACTTCCCCTCCTGTGTTAAAGTCAGCTCTAATCCTTACTCTGTACCTGTCTAAATATTTTCTGGGATCAGGATTAATACCACATGAACGCTGGTTCCTAAATACCAGTGTTTTCCACTGTGAAAGTCATCACCTCAGTACAAGCTAACGATCTAACAGCCACCCAGGGCCAACGCAACACAGAGAATCAAGCTGTGGGAGGAGGTGGGTGCTTTCATCTCACTCCCTAGGGAGCTGCAGAGGGCTGGTGCCTACCTGATTACACGAGTATGGCCCTGTAAGGTTGTGCCAACTTCCCCACAGCCGTCTTTCCACTTATAGAGGTCGACCCGTTGGTTACTCTGAAAAGAAAAAGGGAAAGAAGGCATCAGAATATATGCTCTCACCCCAATCTGCTTAAGGCCAAGAAAGGGAAGCCATGTCAAAACCAGCTTGCATGGCAAAGACCCTACAGACTGAGCATGTGAGGTAAGGGTACTGGAGATGGTCCCAAACCACTAGAGCAGGGGTGGGCAAACATTTTGACTGGAGGGCCACAATGGGTTCTTAAACTGGACCGGAGGGCCGGAACAAAAGCATGGATGGAGTGTTTGTGTGAACTAATATAAATTCAAAGTAAACATCATTACATAAAAGGGTAGGGTCCTTTTTTTTTTCTAGTTTTATTCATTTCAAAAGGGCCAGATCCGGCGGGCCGTAGTTTGCCTACGGCTGCACTAGAGGAACCTCCTCCCTATTCTGAAGGTCACACACCCATTTCTCTCCACTGCTGGCACACCAGATATTTTTAGCTCACTCTTCCCATTATCAAGTGCTTAGAGTCAACCTACCATGCTTTAAAAACACAGATGCACAAGAAAAAGAACAGAAACACCATCAAAAGGGTGTCGGAGAAGGCAAAATTACACAAGACTCCTTAAAACAGGCCTATATCAAATTTATTTATTTATCACTATTATACTAGAGGCCCGATGCATGAAATTCATGCAAGGGGCTTAGCCTTCGCAGCCCCTCGCAGCCTCGGCCAGCCCTCACAGCCTGGGTTGATCTTTGCAGCCTCAGCTTCGTCCAGAAGGTCATCCAGGTGGTCGTTTCACTGTTTGGTCTAATTAGCATATTAGGTCATTAGGATATAGGATTTTTTAATCCTTACCCGAGGGTATTTTTTCCTTTTTTTTTTTTACAGGAAGTGGAACGGAGAGGGAAAGACAGAGAGAAACATCGATGTGAGAGAAACACATCGATTGGTTGCCTCCTGTAGGAGCCCTGACCAGGGCCTGGGCTGGGGAGGGACTTGCAACCAAGGTACATACTCTTGACCGGAATCAAACCCGGGACCCTTTTGGTCCACAGGCCAACGCTCTATCCACTGAGCCAAAGCGGCTAGGGCTCAAATTTCTTAAAGACTTACACAGAACGACACAGAAAAATGGGCCAATAGAAACAATAGTTACAACAGGAAAAAAGAAGAAGAAAAAAGCTTTGATCAAACTATATTTCACTTAAAAACACAACAAACCGGCAAAGGCTCGTAAACTATCATGAGTTTATGAAACACACTGATAGTGAATAAAGGTTACTAATAGGCTGTTTAATAATATATAGATGACTGATTTTCATTTTAGTTCAGAGTCATACAGGTGGATAACATTTCAAGATTTTTATATTGAAATGCCTAATTCCAATTCTAAATCGGTAAGATTCCTGTGAAAAGATTAGGATTCAAAATAGCTTCCAATGGGACTAAGAGTGAAAAGAAATTCCCTTCATCTTACAATATTCCCTGACATTTCCAAAGGGTTTGCTCAATGAACTAGGAACATTATTAACAGATGAGTCCTCTGGTCTTTCTCACCACACTATACACTGGGTGTCATCACCCATGTCTCATATAGATGAGGCAACTGATGCTCAAAAAAAAAAAAATCAATAAATTGAACTTCATTAAAACTTTTACGTATCAAAGGACATTATCAAGAAAATGAAAAGGCCCTGGCCAGGTAGCTCAGTTGGTTGGAGCGTTGTCCCAATGTGCCAGGATTGCAGGTTCGATCCCCAGTTGGGGCACATATGGGAGTCAACCAATAAATGCATAAATAAGTGGAACAACAATCAATGTCTCTCTCTCACTATCTCTCTCTAGAATCAATCAATAAAATTTTTTTCAAAAGAAAGTGAAGCCGAAACCGGTTTGGCTCAGTGGATAGAGCGTCAGCCTGCGGACTGAAAGGTCCCAGGTTCGATTCCGGTCAAGGGCATGTACCTTGGTTGTGGGCACATTCTCAGTGGGAGGTGTGCAGGAGGCAGCCGATCGATGTCTCTCTCTCATCGATGTTTCTAACTCTCTATCTCTCTCACTATCTCTCTCTAGAATCAATCAATAAAATTTTTTTCAAAAGAAAGTGAAAAGAATCTGCGGAAGTACAGTAAATATTTGCAAATCATATATCTGATGAGGGTCTAGAGTCAAAAGTATATAAAGAATTATTACAGCCCTGGCCAGTGTGGCTTAATTGAGTATCATCCCATGCACCAAAAGGTCGCCAGTTCGATTCCTGGTCAGCGCACATGACTGGTTTGCGGGCTTGATCCCGTTAGGGGGCATGCAGGAGGCAGCCAATCAATGTTTCTTTTTCTCTCTTCCTCTCCCTTCCTCTTTCTCTCAAAATCAAGAAAAATATTTTTTAAAAAGAACTATTACAATTCAAAAGCAAAAAGACAAACAACCCAATGCAAAAATGGGCAAAAAACTTGAATAAACATTTCTCCAAAAAAAGATATACAAATGGACAACAGGCCCATGAAAAGATGCTCAACATCATTAGTCATTAGGGAAATGCAAATCAAACCCACGTGAGGTACCACTTTACCTAGTACACTAACTAGAATGGCTATAATTTTTTTTTAATTTAAATACAAGAGGAAGTAACTACTTTTGGTGACAATGTGGATAAAATGGAACCATTATGCATTGCTGGTGGGACTGTAGAACAGTTCAGCCACTGTAGAAAACAGTTTCATAGTCCCTCAAAAAGTTAAACACAGACTTACCACATGACCCTGCCATTCCACTCCTAGATACATATATACTAAAAAGAAGTGAGCCCAACTGGTGTGGCTCAGTGGTTGAGCATCAACCTATGAACCAGGAGGTCACGGTTCGATTCCTGGTCAGGGCACATGTCCGGGTTGCAGGCTCAATCCCCGGTAGGGGTTGTGAAAGAGGCAGCTGATCAATGATTCTCTCTCAGCATTGATGTTTCTATCTCTCTCCCTCTCCCTTCTTCTCTCTGAAATCAATTTTAAAAAAAGAAAAAAAAAGGAAGAACTCCTTCCTTTGAGTGAAGGGCATACGGCATCTTCTGATCCCTCTGAAAGCACTGAAGGTCAACCACAGCTGAGCTCACTAGTTCCCCCTCAAAACGGGTTTCAGCGTCACCGGCTAGTGACATTGCTGCTAATGAAAACAGGTTCTGATCACACAGGTTCTGTTTCCCTTGCAAATCTGGATTCAATCCTTAGAAACACAAAGTCTGACACCTATGGTACCAATAAAACCTTTTCATATACATAACCTCTATCTTCCTTTTAGAACCACCCACACCTCTTTTCCGCCTGAGAAATGAGGGTTATATTCTCTTCCCTACATAAGATACCCCTTTCAGCCCCAGACCACACATGTCATATAGTCCTTAAATAAACTCACCGAAGCTGCGAAGTAGTGTGCAAAGCTGTCATGAGGATTCCACTGCACAGCGCCAATGTCCCACTTGCTCTGGCGAGAGATCTTTCGGTGACCTTCGAAAGGGGCATCTAGATTAACGATGTATAGGAACCGGCGGCTAGGAGAACAACATATCATGATGACACTATAACAGCATTAGCATTAAGATAGAAAAGCACATTTAGAATTACATATGATTTGCGAGCAGTGCTCAAAAAACCCCAGGTATACTGACCATTTATCTACTCTGAAAGGCATGCAAGTGCAGGAGTAACTCAGGTGGCTGTTAGACAAGCAGGAGCATCCCTGTGAGTCTTCCTCTAGAGATCGTCTTCCCCACCACATCCATGAAAGTCTGACCTCTTCCCACCACAGTCAGCTCCAACCCTGCCCCTCTCCCAGCCTTTCCCAGTGCCCCAGCGCGGACAGTCACTGCTTCTACATTACTCCCAATATGTGGTTTGCATTTTGACTGCAGCCTGTATCTGTGTTGCAGAACTACTACTGTTAAGGCTCTCATCCTGAACCAACTAAGTGTTTGGAGTATGGACCAAGTCTCAAATATCTTGATATGCCCAGAATCACTAAGGTGCAGTGTTTACCATGCTTTAACAAGTGCGTGTTAAATTAAACACATCACTTATCACTTAGCCAAATATCCTGTAGAAAAATCTCAATTTCCCTTACAAGTCATCTGCCTGAAAGGGAAACTAAACGAAATCTAACAGGAGGGAAATAACAACAACAACAAATAATGAAAATAACATATTAAGTGTCAATAATGTTCAAGGTACCAATCAATATAAATGAAATGAGAACAGGGATGTCCTGTGTTCACTTATTTTTCCTTTTTTGGTGTGTAAATTAACATTTCAGCAGCCATCAGCTATCAATTCATTGTTAGCACTCTAAGCCCCTGGATATCAATGAATATAGGTGGGCTCAAAAATGAAGGAAAAGATTAATAGTCCCTATTCAGAAAAGATAGGAAATGGAAAGTTAAAATGACATGGAAAACTAGCAGAAACCCTAAGAGGGATAGTTAAGGGAAAAGAAGGAACGCATAGGTAGGACACAAATTCACAGAACTTCCGAAACTTCTAAAAAGTTGCTGCAGAACAAAGATCTAGAACCTCTGGCCAGCTGGCATCTTATCATTAGAACAAAAAACAGGAAAAGGCTAAGAGCTAAACATATGAGGTGCCTGTCAACAGGGGAGTTCAGAGACATTCCAGAGCAAATACAGGACAGAAGTTAAACAAACGCATTTATCTTCATTCCCCTTTAAAGACCCATTAAAATAAGAATCTACATATAATAATAAAAGCATAATATGCTAATTAGACCAGACTTCCTTCCGGACCACCTTCCGGACAAAGCCAGGGCTGCAAGGGAAGCCCAGGTCCTGGGTGCCAAAGCGAAACCAGTGCTGGCAGCCGGGGGAAGGAAGGCCTACTCTTGCACGGATTTCGTGCATCAGGCCTCTAGTATATCTATAAGAAAGGCAGCTCTTACCTGGGAAAAGTTTAACTCTAGTTTTGGAGGAAAAAGAAAGGTCAAGTTTAGCTCATGGAAGACAACTGGGCTAGCTGGTTTGGCTCAGTGGATAGAGCACTGGCCTACAAAGTGAAGGGTCCCGGGTTCGATTCCAGTCAAGGGCACTAGCCCAGGTTGCAGGCTCAATCCCCAGTGTGAGGGGTGCAGGAGATCAATGATTCTCTTCTCATTGATGCTTCTATCTCTCTCTCCCTCTCCCTTCTTCTCTGAAATCAATAAAAATTAAAAAAAAAATTTTTTTGCACCAGAAGACACTAAAATAAGGTAGTTCAATTTATTCATGATGAAATCCAATTCCTCCACAAGAAAACCAAGTCCAGGGAGGCAACTAAAATGCCATAATCAATGGCACTGCCAAACGAGAACCAGGTTCCCCTCAATCTTAGTAACTACCTGTTCAACTATACCAGCTGGCATCCTTCTGAAGAGTCCGTGCAGTAAACAGAGAACTGCAATGCCGAGACCAGTCACTAAAATTTCAGAGGAATTTGATTGCTTACCTGTTAGAGCAGAGACAAAAATAACTGCAAATAATCCCTACCAGTCCCCCTGAGGTCAATAGCACAGCAGAACTAAACCCTAGGATCGTAACCCTTACATATAAGAGTATTTTCTAATTTCCCAGAAACCTCTTAATTTTCTATCTGTTCCCAGAAGTCATGGCAGACAAAGAGCAAGCTCACTCACCCAGAAAGCACCGCATGCTGCCCGAGACAGTCCACAGACATTGCCGTTGCCTGTGAGAGAGAAAACAGACTTAGTTCTGCTAGCAAAGGCAGCTCAGGTTGGAGAAGACAGGCAGGAAGTCAGTCACCGTGGGTTCTTCCTCTTCCCATGGCTAAGGCATTCCCGGGTTTTATCCCTTTCTAGTTTTTATCCAAATCTCACATTCACCTTCCACAATAGGGCAGCTGTTGTCTGTTCCTTCAACACCAGGACTACTCACAACCAATACTGGCATATTCTAAATTGAGGAGACAGAAGTCCTAGAACCCTTGGAGAATCTGACTAACTTGGAGCAAAGAGAGCTACTCAGAGCCCCTTCCAAGCAAAACCTGACCTGGGACATCATCATCATCATCATCATCATCATCACACACACACACACACACACACACACACACACTACCCATGCCTTTGCAAAGGGCACAGATCCTCGAAGCTGAATGGCAATGGTAATAGTCAAACACCAGCCCTACTGAATCCAGTCATATTGTTGTTGTGATACCCAGTTTCCACTTAACCTGTGGTTTCTAGTACCATTTTCACTACTTTCTCCTTCCCAGGTCTCCCAATTCCAAGGAAGCATCACCTTTTCAGGATCCAATGTCTAATCCCCAAGAGACCACACCCAATCATATGGCTACATTCAGGCCTGGTCGGTGTGGCTCAGTTGGTTGAGTGTCGTCCCATACACCAAGAGGTCACCTGTCTGACTCCTAGCCAGGGCACATGCCAGAGTCTTGAGCTCATCCCTAGTAGAGGGCATACAGGAAGCAGATGAATGATATTTCTCTCATTGATGTTCCTATCTCTCTCTCCCTCTCCCTTCTTCTTTCTCAATAAAAACATTTTAAAAAATGGCTGCATTCAGGCTAAAGCATGAGGCTGTTTTTAATCATGCCAGCTACAGCCCTAAATTCTCTTATTTGGACAAGTTCAATTCCTGCTTCATTTTCTGGGCATTATCTGAATCAGTTTGTGCCACTGTTTAGTTATTTAATGCTCTAAGTTACTTCTAGAAACCATCAAGAGAGAGTCCACATGCTGCTGCTACACTCACAAATCACCAGAAATTCTCTTCCTCACTCTCACTGGTCTCATTAATGGGTTTCTCCCACTCGAACACCCTCATGAAATATGTCATAGGTAATATTGGGGACAAGAAGCCAGAGTGCTCTCGCTGGAGGCTAAAAGTGTTTATTATGCATCCTTCATTCCACTAGAGTCATGAGCAGAAAAAAGCCCTACTGGAAAGGCAGGCAGTGAAATGAGATGTCATTTCAGAACTCTACTGTGTAATTTATAGATTAAAGGTATGAAAGAAAGATGGGGCCTCCAACTGTCTCCTATATATATATATAAAATATGGTTTTTAAAAATCACCTTAAAGGAAAAACAAAAAAGAACAAAAATCACCTTGATATTTATCATAGCTTTAATCATAATTGCCAAAAAATGGAAAACACAAATTATGATCTATCTATCCACTGGAATACTACTGGGCAATACAAAGGAAGAGACTAAATAATATGTTCAAAACATGAGTAAATCTCAAAAGCACTGGGTTAAGTGAAAGAAGCCATACTCAAAAGGTAACACACTGGCCCTGGCCAGCTTGGCTCAGTGGATAGAGCGTGACCCCAGGGCTGAAGGGTTCCAGGTTCGATTCCAGTCAAGGGCATGTACCTCGGTTGCAGGCTCCATCCCAGACCCTGATTGGGGTGCATGCGGGAGGCAACCAATCAATGTTTCTCTCTCTCTCTCTTTGTCTTTCCCCCTCCCTTCTACTCTCTCTAAAAATCAATGGAAAAATATCTTTGAGTGAGGATTAACAAAAAGAA